TTTTTTTGTGTGTGGTGTATGAATTTCAATGGCTTTGGCGCCACTGTAATATTTTCTATCTATTTACTAGTGGCGTAGCGGAGAATGTTAGAACCTCCCTCCCCCTGAATGTCAGGTTTTGCCTTAAACATTTTATACATTGGGTAAATGCGTATTTAGTCTGTCAAGCCTTGAGCCCCTAGAGTCCTGCCCTCCTGATCTGGGAGTGTACGTTGTGCCACTGAAATGTAGACACTTCAAGACGCTCTGTTCATTTGTTATAAGCAGTCTCCCGACAATGCTCATTCCGTTGCTTTCTCTCAACGCTCCAGCAGCCCGCACTTGATTGAAGACGAAACTTTCAATGGCAGTGACATTATCAATAATTTGATAAATTATGAAGACGGACAAGAAGCCAGATTCTTTGAGAGCGGATAAAAATATGCAGGGATCCAGCTTTCCAACAAATTGGAAAAGCATTTTCTTAAAATAGATACCAGTTAAGAAAGGAGTGTAAAATTCCAAAAGGGGCTTCAATTATGTATATCTGGTTATCGTGACAATTACAAGCAACTGACCACCCGTCCTTCGTCACAAAAACTTATCTCTTAACTTTATGTTGTCAAAAAATAAATCAATTGAAATTGCAACTTCAAGTGTCGAAAGCGATTTTGAACTTATTCATTACAAAACTTAGGATTACGACGAGTAGTGATGAATTATGTATGTGCATTTTAAAGACATTTCCGTACATACAGTGAGAAACTATATGTTTTTAAAAAGTTTGCACGTGTAATATTTAATTATTTAATTTGTTATGGAAGTACTCTTACATTAATTTCGTAAACAATTGTTATATTATATAAATGCGACTTTTTTATGGGGTCCCTATCTTACGCACAATAACATGTTCAACTGTAAATTTATTTACGTTTAGTGTAGTTTAAATTGGACGGATAAATGGCTATATTAAAAATATAAAAAAATACATTCAATAAAGTTAAAAGTGAAACACTACTAGCACACAATTTTAAATATTTATATATATATATCTGTAATTAAATCATATACCGTCTCTCTATTGTCAAAATCATATTATCTAACATGCAAATATTTATATATATTTTTTCGTTTACATTATTTACTGTAATTTTCTTGATTTTTCTACAGTTTTACTTTAAAAGAATTATGATTTACTTAGTCTTGTAATACTTAACAAGATTACATACAAATAGGATAATCATTTATTAATTTAGATATTACTTCTATGTTCATAAATTAGTTTTCAAAATCATTTACACTTATTTGAAACCACATTCTTCTACAGCTACTTTACTTCTAATGTTGAGAAAATATTATAAAGTAATACCATTCTGTACTGACAAAGATATCGATCAGATAAATCGCTATTTAATAAAAAAAATTGAAACATCATATGCATTGCATATTTCACATTAGACAGTTTCTATCATGAAACAGTGTCATCATTAGTTAAACGAATAATTCAAAAAAAAAAAAAAAATACGCTGAAGAACGTATGGAATAAACATGAAATGCATTAGCTTCTTAAAAATCATACCTCATTAATATTATTATTTTAAAAATAATGTATTAATACAACTGTAAGTGATATATTTTTTTTCAAATATTTGGAAAAATATATTTTTAAAAATTTTATTCACAATCAGACAAAAGTTATAATAATGTAAGAAGAAATTTTTTCAGAACAAAAGTTGTTAAAAGGAATAATTTATTGTTTTTTTTAAATATGATTGATATAGAAATTAACAATGAAAACACTTTAATTTATGTTACTGTTTAGGTTTCCTCTAATTCAAAATAATATTCTTTTTAAAAAAGTTTTCACAATTATCATTTTGCATTAACTGTAATCTAACAGAGCATGTTACTGAAAAATGTATGGCAAAAAATACTTATGTTAGTTTCCATTAAAAATCAATGATCAATTACTGAAGTAATTTTTTCACTCGAATACCAAGATTATTAGTATGCAGCTAAATTATCTAATACACATCAAATTGAAATGAAAGATTCCCACAACTCACAAAATTTAAAATTTTACTACATATAAAGAATTAAAACTTTTTTAAATAATTAAAATCCTTTTTAGACTGATAAAATATTAGTATTTAATAAAATATTTTTCCTTTCTGTAAATACAATTTATTTCAATTTTAATTTTTAACATGTACGAATGTAGCTGAGTTTTCCTCTTAAAGGCTTAAATTAAAAAAAAACAGCTAGACATTTTTAAAAAAAAATATTACAATGTTCTCGACATATGTCAAAATAATCACTTGATGCCTTGAAGCCAAAAACTAAGTGCAAATAAGCAACGAACATTTGGATAAGGATTAGTGACCAACAGCAGCTGGTTTTGTCATTAATTTTTCTGCTGAGAAATCTTTTCCGATATCGAAAATAGAGGTTAACTTAATCTTGGAAATGCGGAAAAATGGATTAATATTTCTTGTTATAAGTCCTATGTTGTAACATATTTACACGGCGAGAATTCTTTTTTTAGACACAGTATATATATATATATATATATAAAGATAAAAGAGACTCATTTGATTTTAACATTATAAAAATATTATATTGACTGATTCATCATCCACGTGTTAGAAATAGGCTTAATTTTTCAACATGGCTCTATTTTTTTTTTCTTTTTTTCTATGAGGTCAAAGATTTCTGCTGTACGGGTAAGGTTGGATCCATAAAGCATTGCTAACCCTAATTTTCTGGCCTAATTCAGTGACAGCTTTTGAAATCATAATAGGTCTCCAGTTTAGTCCAAAGAATTTTTTGTATCTACATCTGTTGTGTCCTGTGAACTCCAATTTCTTCCTTCTTTAACATTGTAGGTTCTAGAACTTTTAAACTTTCATTTTATTATACTATATATATATATATATATATATATGTACTCTAATAAAATAAATAAAAATAGGATACATTATTCTACAAAACAAAGAAGGGAAAAATTATGGAATTGAAAACCAAGAACAACAAATCAAAATATAAGTAAATATTTATAAAAAAGTAAATTGATATAAATGGAAAACTATTATGTTTTCTGAAGCTAACATATATTTAGGTCTGTTAAGTTATGCTTGCTTTATGGAATTCTAACCTTTTCTTCAGCAAAAAAAAATTATACATAATATTGCCTTAAAAATTATACAAAAAAACCCAAGTTAAAAAAATAACTTAAGCTTAACTATAGCACGGGTAAACTTACACAAAAACAAAATCAACCTGAAAATAGTGACTATTGTAAAAGTGTACAAAGCTCTACAAAATGATACACACGTTAAAAACAAACATAAGTTCTATAAATTACCTAAAACTTTTTCCCCTCACATGAAGTATTGGTATTGTAATTATCTGTATGAAAGTCTATGTTTTTACAGTATGAAACCTATCTCTGTGATGTGGGGCTATGATTCGTAGTTAAATATATGTGTTTATTTAATATGAATTATTTGTGACTAATTAAAGTCAAGGAATGTGGTGATATCTGAAATCTAAATAATATGGCAGTAACAATTATAAATGTATGTATTGGTTTTTATTTTACGAAATTCCCGAACTAAGACTGATGAGTTTGATTGATTTCTATATGACTCCATTAAAAAAAATTATTTAGGGAGTCTTAACATATATTTGCTAAAAAAAATATCGCCTGTTTTTTTCCAGATGATCTGTTTGGATCCTGACTGTTTTCAAAGACATAATAAAATTATATTTATTGAATTATCCAGCGTATACTTTACACGTAAGAATCTGAATAAACCATTTTAAATCACTGGTGATTTCTATATGGCTCCATTAATAAAAAAGAACTTGTATATGGATTCTTAACACACATTTGCTAAGAAAAAATTATTGCCTGTTATTTTTCTAGAAGCCCTTTTTGGAAAAGACATAATGAAATTATATTTATTGAACTATCCAGCATATACTATACACGTAAGCATCTAAGTAAACCATTTTAAATAAGAGGTGAACAAAACTTAATTTTCATTTTTTTTTCTGAATTATTTAATTGATTTTACTGATAATATTGGGTGTATTTTGCATGTAATTCGAAAATGAACACAACTAAAAAACGACTTAATCTCCTTTTCCGCTTAGCAAGTTAATTTACTTCTATTTCGTTGATAGATAATATTATAAAAAATTATTTAAAATGATTTTTTAATAAACCCCAGGTGGTGAAGACAGCAATTGCCTTAATCTCTTTTCCGTCCTATATACTAATTTACGTAAGGAATTTCAAATTAATTCTAAATTCACGAGTAATAGATTCTCGTGTTCTCTACTATAATCTTTGTTAAAACATAATTCAATTCTCGAACATCTTTCCCTGAATTTGAGTCTTCCTTTTTCTCTGTAAAACTAAAAACATTTTTCTTGTTTAATTTGTTTAAATATAACAATGCGTATTTTATAACGTTAGTATAACAAAATGAACAGCAGAAAGAGAAAAATTGAAGCCATCGAACAAAAACAAAACAAAAGTATAGTAATTGCAATTTGCTTCAATTTTTTTAATCCTCCTAAGAAGCCAAAATGAGTACGTTTTAATTAAATTGATTATTCTTTAGAAATAAGTGTAGAAATATATATTTCGTGTCATTACGTAAATAATCAAAACCCTGAAATATGCTAAGCTTGTGATAGAGGCACTAATATTTTATTTAACACCAAAGGATTATTTTTTTTCTTTCAATTCCTACTTTTAGTTCACACTCTCCCTATATATATTTATTTATTTATATATATATCTTGTTCAAATTTTCAATCGTTAATAAAATACTTTTTATTCATCCACTTAAGTTCATGTGCATTTTTTAAACCCTGTAGTGGATGACACTTGACATTAATACAGTATTTTTGAATATTAACTCATTAATTAAATTTAATTTATGAATAAATAGTAACAAATAGAAATAATATTTAAACACCCTAAATAAAAAAGAAAAATTGCTCGTTGTGTCCCTGTAGTGCAATAGATAGCGCGTTGAACTTCTGTTCCAAAGGTCGTAGATTTGATTTCCACCTGGGATGGCCTAATTTCTGAGAATGTGATTTATTTTTGCTGTACTATTTTATTGGGATCATAAAATTTAATTAATGAATAAATAGTAAAAACAAAAATAATAATCCAACACCATATATAGAAAGGAAAATGAAAGATTACCTTCTATTTTGCTACTTAATATTGTGATTCTGTCATACGTATATACATATTTATATTAATTGTAATTATTTACAAAAAAGTAACTAAAAATAAATCTTTCTTTGTTGACCTAAGTAAGAATTGACTTTAAAATATATTTTTTTATTACTTGTTTATATTCAGTTACCGAAGAAATTTGCTTATATTTAGTTACAAAACACTAATAAAAATGAAAACTAGTGATGTTGCAAAAAAAAAAAAAAAAAAAATCACTCCTCATTGACTCATTTTATTCAAAAAAATTACAACAGTTACTTTTTTATAAAGTAAAAATCAAAAGTATTCATTCCTGATTTTGAAGTTCATAAATCAAGAGAAATTGTGTTCTCTCTATGATAATCTAATACATTAAGTAATACTGTTTCGAACAAAAGAGCTTACTTCAACGTTTTAAAAAGATATACCACTTTTAATAGCGTCTACAAATGGGATTAACTACATCAAACGAGAGAGAGAGCTGAGTAGCAATAAAGCTAATATTTTTAAAACACACCTCGAAATTTATGGATAATACAATTTCATGAATATCGCTACTGAAGTACAAAATTTTTAAGAAACATATCTGAAGTTTTTGAAATACTATGTCCATATATATGCAAATATGAAAGAGAGTCATTTCTTCAGTATCATTGAACATGAAGTGTAAATTAACGCAAAATCTGATTTACGGTGAATGAGAAGGGGTATGGTTAAATCTTTATTATGCAGTAAAATCTTAATTTGTGCGAGGTCTTCGTTCGATCTTATAATAATGCATAGCCCTTTTGAATTTATTTTTCAGGCAAGATATGGTTTCCCAAACAGGAATCAAGTTTTATCAATATAATTTTCTTTTAAATACTTAAATTAAAACTTACATTATATATCATGCAATTATACAATGCTGTTAAAATTAAATACATTGTTTTTTTGTTGAAATCGCAACGTAATGATAAAATTATTATTTAGGAAAAGTGAAGCAGTAAAATGTTGAAGCTTTTGAAAGGTTGAACCGCATTTTAGTTCACGCATTTATTTATTGCCAACTTGGCAAATTATTATCTTCATAAGGATATACATTCAATGCGGGAAGAAAAAAAAAACTTTTGAAGCAATTTCACCCAATTTTGTTTCCTTCTTTACCAAACATGTTGGTTAAAATATTATTTCTCTCTTTTAATCGGTGAATATTTATTTATTAATTTTTTTTTTTTGACAATTTTCTATTTTAATATTTTTTTTTGTAATAGTAATTCATTTATATTAGAGGAAATTTATATCTTGGAAGAAATTTATATTAGCAAAAATTATTGTGAGGTAATACTCGCAGTTATTATTACTCAAGGCACAATTATACAAACATTTACATTATGTTTTATTTCAGGTTGAATTCAAAATTTAAATGTATCTTTGTGAACCTTTTTTATGCTGTGTATTTACTAGAACATCACAATTACAACACATGCACATATTTATGAAAAATTGATGCACAATAATAAATGTTTAATAGTTATTTTTAACAATTTTTTTCACAAATATTTTTTGTTGAATGTGAATAAATGTAAGGATTTAGTTTGCAAACGTAACAGATACAACGACTTAGCTTTTAATTTTTTTATACACATGGAAATTGAACTCGCTTAGGAATAAAATAATCACATCATAACTGCCCCCCCCCCTTTCCATTTGAGTGAGTGAACGATTATTTATTAACGTCGTACTATGAAATAACAACACAGAGGCTATTGGCGACAGACATCTAAATTTTGAATCATGGTCATGTGACGAGAAAGAGATCTGAACTAGTACGCCCTCTACTAACTTCAAAATTTTGTTAATGAGAGGACATTGAGCCTGTACAGATTTAAAGCTTCTCATCTGTTCTACATGTTGGGACATTTCATTTTGAGATTAAA